TAATACAAATTAAAAGCATAAATAAATGAAAAATAGAACATGAATCACAAAATACGGTAAACTGCAAATTTACAGATTATTATACAGTGTATAATGATAAAACGTGGCAAAATTAGGTGTTATTCTGTGTGTTTTTGCACAAGATTTACAGGGAAACTTTTTTAATTTCAGCGCTCATAATGTCTGTTTTAATGTGGAAATTTTTTAAAGTTACCTTTGTGGTGAAAATTACAGTCAGCTGGGTTGAAAAAAAAAACATTTTAAGACTGCATGTAGTATATATACATTAATATAAGCTTTTGCCAATGGACTATATGCACACAGACTTGTAATTTTAAGCCAAGCAACTGTCTTTCCCTTAAAAAATTGTCACGTTTAAGATATGATTTCTTTAAAAAACAGCAATCTTCACTGCCTGCTGGACATCCATTATGAATTGGTTCTCAGATTGGACAAGAAGCACTGCATTAAAATCCATTTCCCCCCTGCAATGTCTTCAAAATATGAAAATTTTATTTACCCCAGTATTCTCAATGGAATTTCAGTGCTAGCCTGCTGCTATTGACGGCTCTAGTGGTTAAAACAGTCTTTTCTCTCGTTTTATGCTTGAACAACTAAAGTAATGTTTAAGTCGATTTTAATGAATGTAATGTAATTATATTACAACATACAAAAAACTTTGTGATATTGAAAATAGTCACATTAAGCTTTCACCGAAATGTTGCATCGACTTAGAATGCATGGAGCTCATTACTGCTACTAGACTGAGTGTTAATGAGAGACAACTGTGTGCCTCTCTACTGTGATAATTTTTTTTTACAATTCTACAGTGTAAAGAACTCATCAGCTTTCCACCAGAAACATACATTATTAGTCCCTAAAATAAAAAAACCTACATACAGTGAATGAAAAGTATTCCATCCCCCAAAAATACTAAAATGGTCTAATGGTTGATTTGTGAGTTGTTCTGTAATGGAATACGTCATTCATGTAGTTCACAGTTTTTTTTTCTTCATTAAAAACACTTTACAAATTTATAAACCCTGTGATTTCCCTTATCCTCAGCCCAATCGAACCTAAAGATTAAATTAACCTAAAATACCTCAGAAATAGCAAGTTTAAGTTGTTATGATTCAGAATAATTTATTAAAACATGAAATTTTGCATAAATTCATAAATTAATACTACAAATGCTGTATATAACACTAATATATATACAATTGTCCCCATGTTTCTGTCAGTCCCGTCACATTTGCATTAAATTTAACATAAAATGTGTGCAATACACCTTTAAGGCTACGACTCAGAAGTGACGTCATTTAACAGAGGAGAAGCTCACGGTGATCAAATACGCGTTCTGTCCTTGAATTGTATGATTTTATGCTTGCTTTTGTATGACTTTTGTGTGAAGTCAGGCCCTGTCACATATTTTAAAAGTGAAATGTAAGTTTCTGGAAGAATGTTTTAAATTGCATTTTAAAAATATCTAATTACCAAATTTAAACATTCAAACAAACACAAAACAAATACAACTATTTTTAAAGTACTGTATTCAATCAAATGGGAAACAATGATAAATACTGTATAACTTTTTCATACCCTTTTCACCATCAGTGCCCTGCCTTAAAATCCCCGTATTTCCATTTGTTGCCATTGTAAAAATGACTTGCCCATTGGCACAAGAAAAAAAAGAGACCCCATCCCAATGCCAGATCGACAAATCCACATCACACATTCCCGGTCCAATCTAGCTCATTATTATCGTTTCACTAAAAGCCAATGGACGTTTAAATATTTTAAAATATGCATGAGCTTGTGATAGAGTCAGCATAAAAGAGCTACTGTCTCTTGTACTTGTAATAAATGTACTTGCCATTTATTATGCATTGAGACACTGTGCTGTAATCTTTAGATTGAGGCCATTTTAGCTTTGCAGCAGGTTATTAATCACACTTTTTAAAAGCCTCAGTGTGGGCGTCTTCTGATGGCCAGTAGGTGGCGATGTTGGAGAGGCTGGAAGGACAGCGTGACCTCTCTCTAGGACGCCTCTTTGAAAACACACTGCAGTGTTTATGCCATCGCCTAATGGAATACTGACATTTACAAGAGTTCCTCACACAGGCTCTGATATACAGGCTTTCATTGAGGTATCAAACTAACAGCTGTTGTCAGTCGTGTGGTTTAATAAAGTATATGTGTTGATATTAGAAGTGATTATGAGAATGAAGATTAGCATACACACCTTGGATGCATTTTAATTCATTTATAGTGCATTGTTGAGGTTCACAGAATGCCTGCCAGATGCATAAATGCACAGACGTGTTTATGTCAAAATTAAACTTATTTATGCAGAACAAAACTTGGTAAAATATATGAATAAGTGATAATACTATGTTTTTTTTTTTGTATTTTAAATGAATAAAAATGTCTTTCTGACAAATGTGTAAAATAGGGGTTTGACAAATAGTGACAAAGTGCAAAGATTTGTGGCATATCATAAAATTACTCTTGTTTTGAAAGGTTTGATTATATGTTTTGCATTAGGGCTGCACGATATTGAAATATTTTTATTCATTGTGATATATAATACAATATACATGCAGTTTTGGCAGATGAATAGCTTGTAAAGAATTAATAATTTTAGATAGATTGGGATGATTCTGCAGAGGAGCGTATCTGCATAAAATATAATTTAAAAAGTAAAGCAAAGTTAAATGTAGCATAGAAAAGATGCAAATAAACAATGATTTATGATTTTCTAGCAAGTCAAACGGTATTCAAAAGCAAAAAAAAATTAAACAATCACTGTATAACAATAATAATAGGAATAATATGAATAATAATAGGAAAACTAATATGAATAATAATAATTAAATGTGCTTCAAATTCTTAGTCGGGTCTTTAAAAACTCATGCAAATAATAAACTTTCACTCTAGGGTAAAATATGAAATTACTCCACTATGTTGTTAACTGTAAAATCTGTTCAACTACATTGCAGATCCCTGTGATGTGATTATTGCGTACTCACGATATCGATATATTGTTCAGCCTTATTTTGCATATCACATTTATGAATAATATAAGATATATATAGAGTGATGAATACATATAGAGTACAGTATTGATGTAAAGGAACTGTATTAATATTTATTGAATTTATTAACAATGTTATATGTGTGTAAATTATAATTAGTAGAAATTAATAATGTAATAATAATATATTAATAATAATCATATGTTGATTTTTTTTATAAATCTGATTTGTTCAAGGCATTGCTTGCTTTAAACCACAGGTGCCCTTGATTGAGGGTGGTGGACTGGAGGTAAATATACAAGTTGTCAATGCAGATTCCTAATTTATTATTATAATTCATTATATAATTTATCATATAAATTAATTAATAATAAATTTTATTACATTTCAAATACTTCAATTTGTTTAATTGTAATTCAATAAAAACATGAACAATCCCATTTATAACACAAAAAATACACTTTGCCTTAATTCGTTGTTGATATCTTCTGCAATGTCCGCTATCCATCAAATTACTTTTTTTATTTTATTTTCTTTATATCTGATTCACTCACAACAATTAATAGAAACATTTAACTCCAGTTAGCTTTTTTGTAGCTCAACAGTTAAAAAACAAAATTTATTTTAAATTGGAAAACACAATCTCTGTTAAAGGCATTTACCCGAAATTCCCCATCAGTTTCCATCTCTTTTCAGATGGGATGGAGGGCCAAATCAAAGGTTACCGTGGGCCAACTTTGGGCATCTCTGCTTTAAACAGTTCCATCTGTGCTGTAATTTAACTTCCATAAATCCTGTTTGAATAGATTTTTCCTAAGCAGTTCTGTTTATTATTATTATTATTATTATTATAACCTTTATTTTACCATTAAAAGCACATTGAGATTCAAAATCTCTTTTACAAGAGTATCCTGACCAAGATTATACAGTATAAAAAAAAACAAAAAAACAAAAACAAACAAACAACAGGTAATATCATTCATCCATCAAACCACGTACAATGACAATTAAAAACTATTCAGAACATTTACAGACCAATGTTTCAAACTCCAAATCATTTAAAATCTTTTTAAAAGCATGTAGTGAAACTCTTTAAACGGCAACTTTGTTTGGAGGTTATTCCAAGCAAGGTGCGGCATATTTAAAAGCCTTTTTCCCCATTTCGGTTGGCACCATTGTATACAGACAATAAAAAAAAAAAAATCCTGAGACCGAAGGCTATAGCTATAGAGACAGGTTTTTTACAAAGGACTGGAGCGTGTAAATTTGGGGATATGAGGGAAGTAAACCCAGAATTGATTTATAAACAAAAACCATATAAAACTTAAATCATATACAAAAATGTTATATTAAAGAGTAAAAAATGTAAGTGAATTAGTTAGTTAGGACTGTTCAATTACTGCCTGCACCATGATTATGAAAGTTACAGTGTCTTACACTTTTAAAAGTCTGATATTGACATTGAATGTACAAACATTCTTAGTCAATTAAATGATAAATGATGATCTTGAATAGTTATGCATAAAAACATCATGTCACTTTATTATAGCAACGCGTTATTTGTAGTGTGTTGTAAATGACTGTTTGTATTCTGTAAGTTATGATTAGCTTTGCTTGGCAAGCGCATTTCAAAGTAGCTTCCCCAACACTGCTTATAAACATGAGCTTTGTCAGCTGTGCTCAAGTTGTTCCGTCTGGGATCGTATTCATCCTGGAATGCGATGGACTGATCAAACAGACTTCAAGTCGTAATCCAGTTCAAAGTATTTTTTAAAAATGTGTGGCTTTAGCCAAACAATTATTTAGCTTTGAAACACCAAAATCAGATGCTTTTGATCAGCTGTAGAACGGGCCGCAATCTTCCAGTCCAGCTGTAATTTGTTTTTAATGTGATTTGGCTTCTACCTGCCTGTCTGAGTCAATGCGCCTGCAGGCACCGAGGCACCAGAATAATTTATACCAAGCAGCTGCTTGTGGCGTGAAGGTGCAGAAAAGCTCCTTCCAAACTATCGCTTATTCTGCAGAATCAGGCGTTAAATTGTCTGACTTGTGTGCCAACTTGTTGCTTTTCACCTGCAGCCACCTTCAACCAAAGCCTCGCTGTCTTTCACGAAAAAAAAAATAGACGTTTTTATGAACAGCATGCCAATTTTCCTCGCTGAGTAATGCAACTCTCCACGTGGACTATTGGAGAAGAAATCTTTTGGCTGCATGTGCTTTACCTTTGATGACCCCCTCGATAAAAATGATTTTTAATAGCTGGGAGATATCAATCATAAATAAGCCTAAATGTTTTTCTAAGTGTTATTAATTGAGTGTGGGTCACCTCTGTATTGGTTCCACATGGGTTTTGGAGGCATGTGGCAAGGACTGCGATAATGGAGGAGGGCTGAAATCTGCAGCTTGTGCTTTTCATAAAATAAGGGAGTGAAGGGCTGATTTGAAGAGTGAGAAAAAAAAAAACGGAGGGAGTGCATGACATTCTTAGTGCATCTGGGCAAAATAAGCAGTCAGCGAGCGAGCATGTAGGACAGAAAGAGGAAGGAGATCATTGAAAGAGCACGGGATTTATTATTGGAATAAAAGCGGGAAGGAAAGAAGAGGAGGAAAATGAAGAAGAGAGCGCATCCAACTAGGAACGTAGTAGTGTTGGCTTGCTGTGAAGTGTCAGGAAGGATGAAAGGAGGAATGAAAGGAAAGTGGATGAGATTAAACAGCGGAGAACCAGAAAGCGAGCCCTAACGGCAGGAGTGACGAGCGACAGTGGAAAAGAGCAGACCAAATTAGAAAGACAGATCATCTCCCGGACCTGTAGACTTGAGAAGCGCCTGCTGTCGTACCCGCAGAAGCGTGAGTGTGGGAGAATCAGGCGGTGTGGTGGGACAGCCAGAATCCCTTCAGGATGAGTGACACTCGCACAGACACCCTCCCATACACAAACACACGCTCCCTCAACGAGGATCCAATGCAGCTGCCTGATCCCGAGGAAATGAAGGTGAGTGTCCCTCCAGCACGCTCAGAATGAGAGATAACAGCATTGAGGACTTTCTCGGAGGCGCTGCACAGCTTTCATTTGGATGGCGGGATGTTCTATATGTTTGAACGCAGTGCATTTTGGGCTCATGGTGTTTGGAGTGTTGAGACGCTCTATGGTTTGTTTGAACTGCCGTGGGATCTTGCGTTGAAAGTGTAAGGGGAGACTCTTGTGAATTGAGTTACATTATGACACCACTGCTTGGGTATGTTGTTAAGGGATAGTTCAAAGAAGTCCAAGAAAAGATTTTATCATCATGTTCTACATGTTTATTTCCATCCCGTAAACGTTAATGGAGTCTTACATTGTTGAATTGTGTGGGAAAAGGGTTTTAGTTTATTTACAGTATGTTTCGTAGAAAAGAGGAAGATTTGCATGATTACTAAAGGTCCATTTTGCATGAATAAGACATTCAAGAGTCTGTTTTTATTCATGGTGAGAAGGATCTGGTTATTTTTGAGCAGTTATTAGTTTGTGGGATGTGTTTTTTTTTAAGAGGAAGCATCGGAGGGAGGTCATATGACAGACACTGCGCCTGCCAATTGGATAAATGTAACATGCTCTGTTAATTTCTCACTTTGATGATTAGTTGAGACTAAGCATCAGCCAACACCATAAAATGCAGAACTTGTGAGTCTTCCATAAAAACAGAACAACACTTCACACAATATATCGATAGTTAGGGCAAAAATAAATAATTTTTTTTGTATCTTTATATTGTGCCAAAACCTGTAAGACTTTTATTTTTTTATACAGTGAAAATCAGTCAGGACCCCATTGACTTTCAATGACTATGTTTACATGAACATCAGTAATCAAACTATTTGCCTTAATCTGAATAAGACAATAATATGATTAAGGTGTTAACATGAGTTGCTTTTTGAATGTTCCTTTCATGATCATGTTTTACATGTTATAGCACATAATTTGATTAATGTCATTGCGTCAACATGCTATCCACATTTCCTCCAGAGTTTCATGTAATTTGTTTCATTTTTAATTAGTTGACTTTAACTGCAGTTTGGCACTTTCACTTTCATCCAGCAACATTTCATGCATGGCCCCCATGACAAACCAGATATCGGATGCGAGTATGAACTGCTGGAAGAGTATTGTTTTAACGAAATTTAATACCGCACGTCGTATGAAAAAAAGAACCTCCAAAGTTTTTAATGCAGGAGTCTGTGGTCCTTCACAGACTCGGTGGGTGCTGAGAATAGTGTCAGACAGCTGTGTGTATGAAATATCCTCCTGCAAAATGTGGCGAATATCCTACACAATGGTAATAGTTTAATTGCGTTGTTTACATGTCTGTACTGGACTTCAGTAATGCGGCTAAAATCAGCATACTTTACTTGTCTTAATCCCATTTCTGTTTAGTACGATTATGACCTTAATCAGATTAAATTAATCAAAAATTGCTGTTTAAATGGTCGACTCTTAATCAGAGTATTGTCTTAATCGTATTAAAATCAAAATATTGGTGTCCATGTATTTATAAAAACCAACACAGACTCAACATTCCAAAAAAAAGTAACCTACAGTATTATTTGCTGCAATTTTCAGATATGATGAACACTACAGGTATTAATACGGCAATGGTTTTTATTCCTTTACAAACAAATGATGATTTTAACATCAGCTTCCTTATGAGTGGTTTTTGCATTGTCATGAAGTAGCTTGGTACTGTAGCTCACCTTGCACTAGCACAGATTAAAATCAAGGTAATATGGCATGGTAATTTAAGGTATCGTCATTTTATCATACTATTGTAACACTATCAGTTTTAGGGTTCAGTTTAGTGCAGGTAGTAAGTTATTTTCAAATGCAATATTGCATTAAATTGAATAATTAAAATTGCACCTAATTTTTACCATCACTCACTAAACACTGGCTACATCCATATCACCCTGTAGCGCAAGCAGGGCTGAGCCTGGTCAGTACCTGGATGGGAAACCACAAGGGAAAACTAGGTTGCTGTTGGAAGTGGTGTTAGAGAGGTCAACAGGGGTGCTCAACCTGCTGTCTGTGTCCTAATGCCCCAGTAAAAAGTGAAGGGGACACCATACTGTCAGTGGGCACCGTTTTTCAGATGAGACGATAAACCGAGGTCCTGACTCTCTGTGGTCTTTAATCCCATGGCACTTCTTGTAAAAAGTAGGGGTGTAACCCCGCTGTCCTGGTCAAATTCCCACTAGGCCCTTAACCCTCATGGCTCCAAATCATCCCCATCTACTGAATTGGCTCTATCCCTGTCTTTCCACTCCACCTATAGCTGGTGTGTGGTGAGCGAACTGGCGCCGTTGTCCTTTGGCTGCGTTGCATCATCCAAGTGGATGCTGCACACTGGTGGTGGTGTGGAGAGACCCCCCTTATGATTGTGAAGCACTTTGGGTGTATGGCCATACACGATAAATGCGCTATATAAATACACATTACATTTGATTGTAAAACATCTAAAAGGCTATAAATATTTTAGCAAAACATTTAAGACATTTTTGATAATTCTGGGTTGACCAAAATGCTTACAAATACAGTATGTTTCTATGTGAGTACAAATTGATTTGAAGGTGTACATTTTTGAATTTTTTCCATTTTCAGATTAGCTACGCTTTTAAGGCATCTTTCAGCTGAGGTTTGATGGTTTTATTATTTAGTTTCTTCTAAGCTGCAGCTTTAAGTTCATCGTTTGGGTTGAAGGAGATTTGTTGGGACAGTCATGAGCCAAGATGTCTTTTGTTTGAGAAAGTAAGAGGAATAAATCACCACCAGCAGACGGCCACTACAGTGTAGTGCTATTTTTACATCATAACGTAAGGCATGGTAGACCAACACCCAGGGTTTTGGTTTAGAGGCACGTTTTAACTTCTGTATGCTATTAAATCTTGATTATAAGGTTGTTTTTTGAGTTAAAAATGCAGCCAGCAGACTTTTAAAAAAGATATAAGCCTTTAAAAGTAATATTTTTCTTATGAGAGGCCTTTGCAGAGCTTTGATTTTTTTATTTTTTTTTCCACCGTGGAGCCTGACAGAGCTCCCCCCTCATCCGTTTCCCTTCTGAGGCAGTTATACTGACAGTTGTATCTATTGATGTGTTCTAGCTGGAGGTGTTCTGATTACCCAGCTAACTGCCAGCTTCACTTAATCCTCTGGAGATTCATGAAGGCAAAGCCATAGAACAACATCATTGTGGCTAATCCAGTGCCTGTCTGACTGATGTAGTGTGGACTTTGCACATGCACAATGAAATCAGGAACTCGACGGCGCAGAACATGGACGAGTTTTTAGGCTTGTGCCAAGAGAGATAAGAGTCAAAAATCAGAGGAAGTCCGGCGTAAGGCTTGCTAACCCACAGATATTGTGTTCCGTCACCCTCGACCATGTCTCTGCTTTCTGGGTGTGTTTATTTTCTAAAAGGGGGTTGCCTGGATACGACCCGTTTGCAGATTTTTCAAAATGTTTTTGTTTTACTAAGAGAATATTCATTTCAGCCTTTCCCGTCTTTCCCAGCCAAGACAAAATGTTCCAAGTTGATTTGTAATAGAGTATTGTTCTTAAAAAGCTGGAATAAGAAGTACAACTATTATAGATCATTTAACATTTTATTTCCATAACTACCTGTGTTGCAAATCATGCATCACAGTCATTTCTGCTCTTGCAATCCAAGAAATAGAGTTTCAAGTTCAACAGTCTGCCAAAAAGAATTTGGTCTGCATTTAGAATTTGGGGTGTCATACAGGAAGTGTGGGGAAAACAGTGACTGAGTGAATAGGTCTCTGGTATATGTTTTCCCTTGAAGACCCTGAAATATTATAAAAAATACTGAAATATACAAACTCCATGCTCCTGAGTTGTATACAGTATTCTTATCTTAGCTATTTTATCATTTTAACAAGCTTGGGGGATCAACACACCCATGTCAGCATCAACAGTTTCTCATTTTTCCCCAATTTGAATGACTGTATTGATTCTTATGAATGATGCTAAATGCTTATTGGCTTTGAGGGTCTTGCCAGAGAGTAGCTAGAGAGTCAAGTATGCTGAGACTTGTGCAACATAAAAACAAAAATCCAAAAACGTGCAAACAAAATTAGGTAGCCAAAAAAAGAAAATAAAAGGAGGAAAAGGAAATAAAACAATATAAAGGGAAACAACTTCTCTCAAGATTTTTTTCATAAGTGAACAGGTAACTTTAAGCCAACTTTAATCACATGATTTTGATTGTCAGTTAAGTAAGTCACTATGTCCGATTATGTGATTTTTGTCTTGATAAAATCTTGACTTGTTGTGGGTAACAAATGTGCCAGACTACACGTTACTTCACGATCAGTCATCCTGTGACATCTACAACAAGCATTATTTCTCAAAAATGTATTGTGTTGCTATTACAATATTTCTGATCTTTATTTCAATGTTTTTTTTATGTTATTTCAATCTCAATAAACACTGATGCTTGCTGAGAACTAGGCTACATTATTTAAGGGCATTCTTTGTGACATTGATAGGATTAAACTTATATTGAACCGGTGCATGTGAGCGGTGCATGACTGGAACTCCATATACTGGTGAAGTTTTAGTTCTTCAGAGAACTACATAATCATCACTGGTGATCATAACAGTCGGAAGGCTGAGAGAACTCAGAAACTCATTGTGAGAATGAAGATGTCTGCATATTTGTGCCAGTCTGTCAGGTAAAATTGCTTAAAACACTTAAATATTTTAGAGAAAGTAGTTAAAGATTGCATAACCAATGACTGATCTTATCCACCCCAGACCCACCCATAAATAAAAATGCTGCCTGTATTTTGATTATTTTGAAACACCCACAGATATAACTGAGAAATGATGGGCTCCTGTTGCCCATGAAGATCGGGGAAAAAATTAAACATGCTAGACTTTCTGCGAAGGTGTCCTGAGACGTTGTAGACACTGCATCAGTTGTCGTAAATGCCCAATACCGAAATTGTGACAAAATCATGTGATCTGACTGGGGCTTAAGTCTAAAGGCTCCTACACACGGGACGTTTTTAGTTTGCGTTTATTGGCAGTGTTTTACGAGACGTTTTTCAGTGTTCAAACCCAAGCGCTTTACACTGGCGTTAAGCAGAAGAGTATGCTAAATCACTCTTTTGACGTTAGATGGCGCTGCACAACATTAAGCTTCTGACACCTGCTTATTACACAGAAGAAGAGTAGGAGAGGAAGTTCACACATTTGTTTATAAAGTTACTGGTGACTCGAACAAGCATGGATGGTTCAAGCAGCACCTCCTGCTCTAGCGATGAAAAAATGATTATTGTTTACCAGTGCAAAAAGCAGCTTTACGTTCATATTGCATCTGGGCATCTTCTTCAATGTGCGCTCGCATAGACAGTTTTGCGCTTGAGCACCTCCAAGTGCTGTTTACGGTAACTTCAAAAGCTCCGTGCACGTGAACAAAAGTGCAGATCTGATTGGTGGAGAAGGTTTTGACGCCGCGCGCCAAAACAAAAAAACGAGCATGAGGCGTTTTTTAAAAAAATGACGCTTTTGCGCCTGGCGTTTTGCGCGTTGGTATGCACAATTACATTGATGCCCTTTATTTAGTTACGAGGCGTTAAACATCAACGGAAAACGCAAGCAAAAAACGTCTCGATGTGCACGGGCCTTAATACTGAACTAGACTGAAACTAAGAGAACTGAAAAGAAAAAACTATATTTTCCAAGGCCGACTACTTATTTCACTCTAAACACATAATTTGTGTGAAATTGAGCAAAAGTTTAAGTGAAATACACATGAAAAACATGATACCAACAAATATGTTCTTTGTACACATACAGTACAGATATATTGCATGGATTTTGCTCAGAATATTAATATGAGCAAATGTAAAATTAATTTAATTAATTAAATTAATTTAAATATATAAACACTAATTTCACAGAGAGTGCAGTCCAGCTATTAAAGCAGGTCCATCTATTAAAGCTAATATAAGACATAATTCAAATGTAAAAATCATTAAGTAATCTTATTTATCTCTAGAAGTTAAATCTAGAGGATACATGAGGTGCTCTATTTATAGTAGAAAACAGATAGTATCCAGTATAGCATAACTCAAATTTCAATTGTTTTGTATTGCATTAACATAAATGCAAATATTTTTTTTAACAATATTCATCTTTCTTCTATTGGTTCATCTTTTTAATACTGTTGGCTGATTTTGCATCAGTGATTTGCCAGCAATTACTACAATTATTTATTTAAAAGAAGTGATAAATAGCAAGTATAATGAGCATACAGAACACAATGTCTTTGCTTAGGCTCCAACAATCTGGGCTACTCCCCTGCAACATGCATGAATATTACTTTATAAAATGTCACGTCAAAAATGAAACTATATCAAGCGAGTGCTAATGGTGGGAATCGTATAACAATAGAGCACAGAATGCAGTCCACAAGGCCAAAAGACTTTTGGACTGTGACCATCAGGCTTTGTGCAATAAGCTGCTCATAAACAGAGGCTTAACCACTGGCGCTATGAGATGCGGTACTTAGGATAGTCAGTTACGTTTATTTTAAAGTCTGACCTCTTAGATTGTTGACACTGATCTAATATAAACTTAACATCTAATGTGTCTGAAGAGTATTAATATCATTTTACAATAATAATATACCAGTGTTACCAATAATAATAATAATAACAATAATATTAATGATGGTGATAATGACATTAATAAATAATTAAATTATATATAAAATATAGAAATTCAATCATTCATTTTCCTTCGGCTTAGTGCCTTTATCCATCAGGGGTCGCCACAGCTGAATGAACCGCGGACTTATCCAGCACATGTTTTACACAGTGGATGCCCTTCCAGCTGCAACCCAGCACTGGGAAACATCCATACAAACACATACACTACGGCGAATTTAGTTTATTCAATTCACCTGTACCACATGTCTTTGGACTGTGGGGGAAAACCAGAGCACCCAGAGGAAACCCACACGAACACAAGAAGAACATGCCAACTTCACACAGAAATGCCAACTGATCCAGCTGGGACAAAAAAAAAAAAACAGAAATAATATAACAATATAGTGATATACAAATACAAAACAATACAAATACATATTGCACACATTATGTACCTTAATTATTTAGATCTGTACATTTTATTATTATTATTTGTATTATATTGTACAAATTATATACAGTCAAGCCCTAAATTAAAAAAAATAAAAAATAATTTTAATTTCGGGCATAACTATTTTTATACAGTTCTACAGTTAAAGTCAGAATTATTAGCCCCATTTGTTTTTTTTTTCTCTTTGAAATATTTCCCAAATAATGTTTAACCGAACAAGGAAACTTTCACAGTATGTCTGATAGTATTTTTTCTTCTTGAGAAAGTCTTATTTGTTTTATTTCTGCTAGAATGAAAGCAGTTTTTTATTTTTTTAAAAAACATTTTTGGGACAAAATTATTAGCAATTATAAGCATTTTTTTTTGTGATAGTCTACAAAACAAACCATCGTAATACAATAACTTGCCTAATTACCCTGACCTACCTAGTTCACCCTACTAACCTAGTTAAGCCTTTAAATGTCACTTTAAGCTGTATAGCAGTGTCTTGAAAATTATCAAGTAAAATATTATTTACTGTCATCATGGCAAAGATAAAATAAATCTTTTATTAGAAATAAGTTTTTAAAACTATTATGCTTAGAAATGTGCTGAAACAATCTTCCCTCCATTAAACAGAAATTGGGGAAAAAAATAAACAGGGGCACTAATAATTCAGGGGGGCTAATATTTCTGACTTCAACTGTATATACACACATATACATATACACACACACACACATTCATACACCTATATATATACACACAGCTATATATATATATATATATATATATATATATATATATATAGTTTGCACGCTCTCCCTGCATTTGCGTGGGTTTCCCAGTTTCCCCCACAGTCCAAAGACATGCGGTACAGGTGAATTGGGTAGGCTAAATTGTCCGTAGTGTATGTGTGTGTGTGGATGTTTCCCATAGTTGGGTTGCAGCTGGAAGGGCATCTGCTGCCCGGATTAATAAAGGGACTAAGTCGACAAGAAAATGAATGAATGACTGAATGAATGAATGAATATATTCTTTTGTTTTCATGGATAATAACTCTGCAAGCACAGTATGTCAACACGTACCCCAACATCATGAGGACAATGGATTTTATCTGGAAGTAAAAATCGGATTGACTTCAGAACCCAACATCAGGCCAAAGTCAATGTCCAATGTCCAACCTAAAATCAACCAAATATCAACGTCAAATTATGTCACACCTTGAAGTTGTGTGGACGTTACCACTATGACAACTATCGGACGTTGGATTTTGCTCACTTTTCAACACAGCCTTAAATCAACCAGATGTCAACGTAATTTGACGTTGTTATTGGATATCAAAGAAATGTCTTTAGACACTGGCTAGACATTGAATTTTGGTCATCTGATGTCACAACCTAAATCTAACATAATATTAACGTATTATGATGTTGTGTGTCTGCTGGGAACAATAATAACAATTTTGGTATCACGTTGCAATACGTTTAAATGGGTTCACATTATAAGCTACATCAGTTACCATAAACCAACAATGCTTTTATTAATCTTAGTTCACTTTATTCCTGACATGTATTAATAAATTATTAGGAATCAGAAATGGCATGGCTTTATATTCATATTTGTGTTTAATATTTACATTTTAATAATCGTATTACAACGCCTTACTAATCATATAATATTAAATGTCTTCATACAGTAATCTCCATCCTACAGTATATCCAGTAGATTGTCTCCAGGAATGTTTAGCTTTACACATCGGATGCTCACATGATCTAGTGTTTTGTAGCCTCCTTGAGTAATTACGCTGCCTTTCCTTATTATCCCAGTCGCTGATAATTCGCAAGTGAATCTAACATTTGTGCCGGAGATGAGCTGCTGACCCTGACTTGATCTCACAGGTGTCCTGACTCTCTGCACCATATGGCCGCCCTTAGCCATGTTCTTCTGCCACTGTACTGCCACCCAGACCTTTCCATCAACATGATTAATGACCTTGTCTGTCTAATGGGAGTTTTGTTTCACGCGTCCTTTCCCTTTCCCCTTTCCCTCTTTCTCCTGTTCTTCATTCAGATGGATCCTGTTCAGAAGGCAGTGATCAACCACACCTTTGGAGTCCCATTGGTGAAGACCAAACGGCCAATCATTTCCTGCAATGTCTGCCAGATCCGCTTCAACTCTGAGGTGAGACTGACTTCACTCATGTTGTCTTTGGTGTTCTGTGATGCAGTCGTACTGTATTTACAATTCTTCAAGCGGGTTTTAGATGTAAAATGAGTGTTGTGTTTACGCTGAACTCACTGCTTTCTAGTCCGGAAATAGCCAATGGCGAATCCTCTTTGAAGTGCTGTATCCGCAAAGCATGTCAGAACTGAAGCTTACAGCATTAAGTATGTCTTTCTCTCTACGATTAAAAGGGAAAACTCACTGTACAAAATCTGAGTTGTAGCTTTAAATAAAAAAAATTTATCTTATGAAGGTATTTTTATAATAAACTCAAAGTTGTTTTGTTTAAAGTGTATTTGCCAAAACCTCTGACATTTATAAAAGATATCTATACGAATTGACCAGTTTTGGTCTTTTGAAAAGCCATAATTGTTTCATAAGATGAACAGATCAAACTTTTATTGGCATACAAACATCAATCAGCAATGCCTACAGCATTTAGACTCTTTGCTCTGCCAATTCAAGTATTCATTCAATCTTTACGTTAGCCGTGAGTGATAACAATTCAGTAATCTGGAGCTGCTTTTCTCAACCACAATTCTGTCTTATTTTTCCTATTTTACTTTTTTTTTGTGTGTGTCTAAAAAAAAAGAACATGAATGGCTGAATATGCTTGAATAAATTGTCATTTTATGCTCTAAATAGCATTTTATTTTAAATTTATAAAATCAGAACAGAATAAAAAAAAGATTCTTTACAAAAATGTAACAATAAACCATAAATTCGGACATATAAATATATATTATATTAAATTGGGTGCCCAAATGGTTTATTCTTCTGTGACAAATCTGCTAGGTTAGCAAAGCAAAGCAAAATAAACTGCTATTGTGGGAAACATCTGGTTATTTAAAGAATCAAATCCTTACATTTGCATTTAAACATTTATCTTTATTTGATCTACTTCTAGAATTTAGATTGCATAAAAGTTTGATTCATAAATTTTTTTTAATTTTGCAACAGGTATTTTTAAATTTATGCCACTCCTCCAGTTCTGTTGTATCCACAAACAGTGATTGACTATTACACAGATTCTATAGATGAAACCATTTTATTTATATGGGTTATATTTAGGGCCAGACAGAATCTGCAGACATTTTTTTTTTGCAATTTCTGCTGAGAATTTTGTAAAAAAAAAAAAATAAATAAAAAATTGATTTATGTGAAGATATTTTGGGAGTATCGTAAACAAAAAATAAAAAATAATAATAACTTTTTAACTTTTATTTTATAATGCAAATCCAATTAAATCCAGATTCAATTAGTCTCTTATATAATACATCTACTAAAAGACATTAAGACAATAACAGAAAATATTACTTAAACTATTATAAATAAATCATAAGAACATTTTTATATTAGTCAATAATATTAATAACTGAATACATATAAATGTACAAACATTTACACCAAGCAGCAACCTCTTCGCTCTCTCTCGTGAAGCCAATACAGAAGTAACTGAGACTGCAATTCATCGACTCTCCTTTGGGGGCTGGCTCTAGGAAGTCCAGATGTTCACTGACTCCAATGCAAAATTGGCCAATTTTACAGCTGTTAAAAACATGTTTACAGCCTGGTGCAAAAGATGGGTTTGGTTAATATAGCTAATATTACCCTTCATGACAACTGTAAGAGGGGTGAATTTTTTTTTAATAACTCATCCATTTTGTTTATATTAAGTTATATTAAGTGTGCATAATTAAGGGCGGGGCCACTTGAGTGACAGCTAGGCCTCGCTGGTCACCTCAGCTGATTAGGCGCTGAGCTCGGCATATGCATAGTATTTTTGTTTTCTTTTAAGTGGATTTACACCGTCAATTGCCTTTTGGAATTATTTCCAACAATTGTCAGAAATTATGGCATGCTGTGTGCACTTTATTGTGCTCACAAACCATTCAAGTTGTATCCATTTACCAGGTGAGTGAAATTATATACCTTATCTATAAATGTATTTGTTGCATTTAAGATAATTCATCATTTATAATTTTCTTTAGACCAGTAATGCACTCCAGAATATGAAAGATTGATTAGCTGCAGGCGATAGAACAGTCATCTGAAGCATACAGTATTATGCCTGGATTTCATAATTAGCCTTGCATTTACTAATACAGACTACATTTGAAAGGTTTGGAAGTCATTCGCATTTTTCTCCTGTAAAACGCCATAAAACAATGCTTAGTGGCTTAATTTATTACAACAGTGCCAGCAGGCGTCTGTAGCTCCGCTTATGCTCCGCCTCTTTGCCCTTGTTTGGTATCACCCAGTCAGTCTGATGACACGTGAACAAAATGGCAATGGTTAGCCACGCCTACTTGTAGCTTCATTTGCACTCTTTAGAAACCTATGGGTGACGTCATGGATAATACGTCTATATGTTTTGCAGTCTATGGTTTAAACAAATAAATAGACTTAATGATGAGCTAAAGATCTGCAGATATCTGCGAATTTCTGCGCATGTAGATTCTGTGTGGGCCTAGTTATATTTCTATTACTTTATAAATATTTTGAAGCTCAAGAGTTTTGCATGAACAGACTTTCAGTGTAGAGACTGAAATCTCTAAATTCCCCTCTAAAAATATCTTAATTTCTGTTCTTCAGTTGAACAAACTTCTTATAAGCTTTAAACAATATGTACTAATTTGGGGATGAACTGACCATTTAAAATATTATTTCCAGCAGGTAGAAAAAAAACAAAATGTTCAACTTTTCCATTTTTAGACTAACCACAGTCATTACTGCCTGATCCATATCATGCATTTCAACGTTCCAATATTCCTTGCGCATCAATGAAAGCAATTATTTTATTTGTTTATGCACCAAATTGCTGCTACGCTTGTTGGGATGAAATGTGAAGCCTGAAATATTTTAGGCTGAATTCAGTTGCAGCTGTGGCAGCCATTGTGACATGTGAGATCCATAACAGTGCAGGACCTGGGAGTGCCTCACTGGCCTGCGCTATTTTTACAGACGAGAACTGTAATCATGGGCAGAAAGTGGCTTTCTTGGTGTGCGCCTGCAATCTCTGGCCTCCAGCGGAGCAGATGTATGGCCTGCTTTAAACCGCATCCACGAACAAGAAAAGACAGGGAGAAGACAGAGAGGACAAGCCTGCCTGTGGAGACTTGCAAAATTAGCTGTTAGCCCGGGTCGCTTTTAATGATTTATGGGAAGAGAATTTGAGACAACTCAGCAGTTCTGTGAAACAACTGGACTTAAGAGTTGTAATGAGTTACCTGGGAGGTGCTATTTCACTGAGGTCAAGATTAGATTGAAGTTATGTTGTCCAGTTGTTTCTTTGTTTTGGTTGACAGTAAATTTCCTAGACGGTTGTTAGTTCAGCTATAAATCCTGTATCTCAAAGTGCCATCCAAAGATTTTAGTTTACAACCGAGTTCACGACCCTCAAGTCAGATGAGCTCCACACATACAAGTGTGCTTGTAAATAATAATGTGTGCTGTTCAATAAACCTTAAGCCCTTGACTGCTGATTGGACGTCTCTGACACATGCAGCTGTCTTGGTTTGTTAAAGATATCCGTATAATTTCAACACCCATTTTTTACAAGTCTCCCTACTTGCTGTCACTGCATTTAACCACTCACACATACATAACCACGTGGCACTTTCCACAAATAGAGTATGGCATGAGGCATTAAAGAAACATATTTCTAGGTAACAACTTTAAATAATAAGCTGACAAAAACTATACAAATTATGTATGCAGAACCATTTTTTTATATTTATATTGATATTTTTAAACACCTCTGAAGACTAAATTATTAGCACTACTGTGAATGTTCTATTATTTGTTAAATTCATCCAAAGTAACGTTTTCACTGTATTTCCTTTAATATTTTGTCTTGTGGAGAAAGTCTTATTTCGTATAGTTTGGCTGGAATATAAGATAACTACGAACAAACCAATTTTATCAAGTTACTTGCCTAACTAAACCAACTTGCCAGGTACTTTAAAAAAGTAGCTAAGCCTTCAAATTTCACTTTAAGCTAAATACTACTGCCCTGCAAAATAACTAGTAAAATATTGAACTGTCATCATGCCAAAGACAATTTAAATGAGTTACTATAAACAAGTTATTATAACTATTGTGTTTATAAATGTATTGAAAAAATCTTCCCTCTGTTAAACATCACTATACAATACACTTACCGGCCACTTTATTAGGTACACCTGTCCAACTACTTGTTAATGCAAATTTCTAATCAGCCAATCACGTGGCAGCAACTTAACGCATTTAGGCATGTAGACACGGTCAAGACGATCTGCTGCAGTTTAAACTGAGCACCAGAATGGGGAGGAAATGTGATGTAAATAAACGTGGCATGGTTGTTACTGTCACACGGGCAGATCACGGGCGGATTTGTCACGCACAACCATCACTAGGGTTTTACAGAGAATGCTCTGAAAAAAAGAAAATTTCAAGTGAGCAGCAGTCCAGTGGGCGCAAATGCCTTGTTGATGCGAGAGGTCAGAGGAGAATGGCCAGACTGGTTCGAGCTGATAGAAAGAAAACAGTAACTCAAATATCCACTCGTACAACCAAAGTGTGCAGAAGAGGATCGCTGAACACACAACATGTCCAACCATAAGGCGGATGGGCTACAGCAGCAGCAGATTACACCAGGTGCCATTGCTGTCAGCCAAGAACAGGAAACTGAGACTACAATTCACAAAGGCTCACCAAAATTAGACAACTGGAGATTACAACAACATTGCCTGGTCTGATGATTCTGGTGGTGGTGTAATGGTGTGGTGGATATTTTCTTGGTACACTTTGAGTCCATATGTAACAATTAAGCATCATGTCAATGCCACAGCCTACCTAAGTATTGTTGCAGACCATGTCCATCCGTTTGTTACCACAGTGTGCCTATTTTCTGATGGCTACCTCCAGCAGGATAAAGTGCCATCTCATAAAGCGTGAATCATCTCAGACTGGTTTCT